GTTTCCTACCGCAGCACGCGGGCCTGGCCTGCCTCTTGCCTGCCGCCTCCTGCCAGCCCTGCCAGCGCTCCTGCGCATGGTCTTCTGCCTGTCCCCAGCAGCCCGGCCGAAATCTCAGAAGCCAGAGGTCAGCACCTCTCTCCAGGGGTGTCCTGAGGCATAGCTGGGCCAAGGGGAGCTGCCCCAGGAGAGGACTGAATTTTGCAAATGTGCAAATTTGTACAGATCTTGACTATGGAATGAAACTGTTCTTTTGGTATTTGTTGAAGGGAAGAAAATCCTTCTGTTTCTTGCTGTGTCTAATATCAAGTTCTGTAAATAATGGATCTGTCTGAAGGAATAAAGCTATCCTGTAACAGCCAGCCAAGGGAGAGGTGTGTGAGGGAAGGGAGAGGGGCATGTGTGCGGCTGGGAGCACTGAGTGCCTGCTCCGGGCCACATTGTCCCCGCTGGCAGCTCTTCTGTGGTGCTAAAAACTTGAGGTAATTGTGGGGATTGCAACAACACCAGGTGCATGTGATGCTGGTGGAATCGAGCTCAATTTATTGACACAGCTCAGAGGGCAGGAGGAGAGGGGGAGCGGCTGCTGGCAGTCAGCGCTTGGCTCCTGCTGCCTGCCCGTGCTGCCTACCTCTGTGCAGGACGGCGGAGGCCCCGGCTCAGGCCCTTGGCTGGGATGGTTTCCTGGGCTGGGTGGGTTTTCCGGCTAGAAGTCCAGGGCGCAGATCAACGCTGTGCCCCGTTTGATCCAGTGCTTCTGTGGCTTGTCCGTAGGGATCTCGACAGCGATCACGTAGTTGGTGGAGTGCCCCGTTGTTGACAGTGTGCCTGTAACGGGGGAAGCAAGGGCAAGAGGGTGGTACTGCAGCCCTGGCTGCTGCACGCTGACCAGGGAGTGCTGTACAAGTGACCCCACGTGAGATCCCCTGTCCCATCCCCGTGCTAGGTGACAGGCTGAGCAGGGCTGGGGGAAGCAGGCTTGTGTATTTTCAGGTGTGGGCTTGAGGAGAGCCTGGCCAGAGGCTCTGCTGCATAGCCAGGGTGCCTGGCTGCTCTGTCTCCACGACCACGGCAGGAGAAACCTTTTTCTCCCTGGATGGTCTCAGCCAACAGCGCCTCGCTCTGTGCTGGTGTGTGGCAAGAGGATCTCCTGCAGCCTCTCCTGGGCTGCCCTTCCTAGCTGCTTCTAGAGATTCCCTTGCTTCTGGAGATCTGTCTTTAGGGCACCTACCTGCGCGAGTGAGAGTCTTATAGATTGGGCACAGGTAGGTGCCAGTGGCTGGCGGCTTGCGGTTGGGGACAGGAAGCAGCCAGATGACGGCCATCTCTGTGTAAAGCTCCTTGGGGCGCGACTCTGCTAGCTGAAACGCAGCAGGGTCCCAGCGGGCGCCTTCGAGAAACAAGCCGTGGATGTAGCAGCCTTCGTCGGGATGGCGAGTGAGCTGGCTCGCTGACTCCTTCATTACCTGCAGAGGAGAGCAGGCCCAGGGCCCCGATCAAGGCGTGTCCCTGGAGGCTCAGCCCCGAGGACCCCCTTAAGCTGCTCTTAGTTAAGTCAGCGCTGCCAAAGGGGAGCCTGCCCCAGCTCTCAGATGGGCTGGGCTCATCTGGCATCTCACATCACGAGGCTGCGGGGCGTGCCTGTGGCAAAGCCTGTGGAGGGGGACGTGAGCAGGTCTGGAGAGGCAGAGAAGCCTCTGCTTGCCTTGTGGAGGTGTCTGGCAGTGTGGGTGGACGTATCTAGCACAAAGGGGATGATGAGGTCCATGGGCAGCTGTGCAGCTAGTGGCTTCACCTCTTGGGCAGGTCAGGGCTAGAACTGCTGCCTTTGTGGCCTTCTAGCAGCAGATTCCAAAAAATTCCAGAAAAAACCCAGAGCCTCTGGCTGACTTACTGACCTTGAAGCTAAACGAGATGGTGTCGATGGAGATGACAGACTTCCTGGCGAAGTTCTGCAGTGTTCCGGTGAGGAAAGCCTGGGGGAAGAAGAACCCGCTGATCCAGAACACGGAGGGGATTCCGTGGCTGATCCATTTCTGCAGGAATTCAATCCGCTGCACCAAGTCGTTCACCCAGGATGCCAAGGGCTTCAGCGATGGGTAGGCCTGCGGGGCACCCACAGAAGAAGGTGTTGAACGCAAAGACACCCTAGAACTTGTGCCCCAGTTGCTGACAGCTGCCCAGGGCCCAGGGGTTCATCCAGCCTGGGGCTGGGAACAACTGCGAGCTGCACTAGGCAGGAGACATCTCCATGCCGGGGGAGCAAGAGCCAGCTCCATGTGAGACAGTCCAGTCCAGCTGTGGTGGTTGATGACCCACTCCCCTGGTTTGGGTGAGCTCCTGTGGGCAGCTGGGCTGGCTGGGGCACGTACCTTGGCATTCCACGTCTCGGGGACAGTGTTGTTGTACAAGCTGCTGGCCATCAGCTCCAGCTGAGAGGACACCACGACCAGGCCCTTGAGAGCTTTCAGCAAATCCTTCAGTGTCTGAGCTATCACCTCCAGGAGCCTGTTGTACCTACAGAGAGAGTGCAGAGGGAGCAGGGCGACTCAGTGCAATGGTTTATTGCCCATGTCTGCCCAGAGAGGATAAGGATCTCTGCACGACGAGTGAAGCTCCTCCATGTAACCCCCAGCCCCGTTCCTCTAATGGGATCTCATAGCTGCTCCCCCAGCCCTGAATTGCTGACGGTAGCAGATGGAGACACTGATCAGTCCCCACAGGACAGGGATCAGCTGAAGGTCCTGGTTGGGACACCACAGTTAGCATGGCTGCCAACCCCACTGCCATGCTCAGCAATGATGTTCCTCAAAGGTGGGTGGGAGCAGGGGCCTGCACATCTCTGCTGTTCCCCAAGGGACCAGTCGGTTGCTGGCCCAGGACATGATCCCACAGGGGTTTTACCTGATCACCTCCTGTACCAGCACTGTGTTCATGGACTCTTCGTAGAGCAGCGGGTATTTGTGGATCACCTCCTGCAGTTTAATGGGGGCAGGCAGCTTTGCCAGGATGTCCTTGGCGGTCTCCTCCACGAGCTGGAAGGAAGGCAGCAAGTGGGTGAGCATCCTCCTGGCCATGGCTGCCGAGAAGGTGGAGAGCTAACGCCTGGATGGCAGTCCCATTGCTGGCACCCAGCAGGCAGGGTGGCACCTGCTGAGAGCTGGCGTTTGTGCTCGCTGCCTGTACCGGGCACTGGCTGCCAAAGCACTGATGGGATCGGGGCACCCACCTCTTCCCTGCTGCGGCCTCCCATTGTGAAGGTCTTGGGTTGCAGCTGCGTAATGGTCCCCAGCAGAGCAAAGGTCTCATTCTGAGCGAAGGTGATGTTGGCATTGTCGTGTAAACCAAAGAGCTCTGGGCTATCGTTCAGCGGCAGGCTCTTGATGTACTGGAGGTAGCCCTGGAGAGGAATCCGGACAGGCTGTGAGGCCAAGAGCACAGGGATAAAGCTGTGGTGCCCCTTCGGGCTGCTACGGGCCTGGCCCGAAAGAAATGACTAAGCCAGGGTTGCTGGATAAGCTAAACCTAGCAGGTCACAGACTCAGTTGGGAGATATTCCTTGTCTCGGTGTTTGAGATGCATTCATCCGACTTTTACACAGCTCTTTGTCCCGTCACAGCCAGGAAACGCAACTCGCAGCTTTGACTTACGGACAGCTTCTGTGTGCCCAAGAGCAAGGGCACGGGCTGCTGGGGAGGCTGACAGGGTGGCAGCTCCTCTGAGACAGGTTTGGTGGCTGAATGGAGGCCGTGGCCATGGTTTGTGGTCCGGCTGGGGAGTTAAATTGCACTTGTGTAGAAGCAAACACGTGCTATGAGAACAGGCAGCTTGGCAGTGAGCTTCCTGCTGTGTCTCCTGCAGAGCTCCTCAGGTACTTTAGGTATGTGATATCAAAATGATTCAGAGTACAAAAGCATTCAGCTGGGGAACTCTGGTGATAGCTGCTACCACCTCCTGTGCACAGGGACAAGATTTTCCTCCTGTTGCTTGAAACAGAAGCAGCTTCCTGAAAGCAGCTGAAGATCCCCAGGTTCTTACAAACTTATATTCCCCCAGGGAACTGGAAATGCAGTGGGTTTCAGGGAGGAGTAGATCCCCTTTGCAGTATGACGATCCCCCTGGATCTATGAGCTGCAAGTTGTTACTTGAGTACTTACGTCGAGGTCAGAAGAGGTACTGATCTGCTTGTAGATCCCCGATTCGGAATAGGCAAACTCAGGAATTAAAACCTCAGGCTTGTAGAAATCTTCCAAAACACTCATGATGCAGCGCCTGTCCCAGTCGTCAGTCACACGGCCGCCGTAGTTGATTTCCCCAGCTGTGTACTTCAGAACCTGTGAGGGACCCCGCCACGGCTTTCTGACCCGCACAGGCATCGTGAGCCTGTTCCCTCCATAGGAGGGGCCAGCTCACGCACTTACCTTGTAGGGGATGTCTGTGTATTCGCTCAAGAACATCTGCAGCTGACTGACGCAGATGCGGAGGTCTCCATCTGTGAACTCATAGGG